CGGAGCCGCGATGCACCAACACAGGGCAGCCAGCGGATCCTGCCCCGCAGGCTGATTCCTGAGGGTCCAGCTCTCATTCCCAAACGCACGAGCCAGAGGGGAGCTGGGGGGCCAGGCGGGCCGCTGGCCGTGTCCCAGCTCGTCCCCCGTCCGGACTCACCCCCGTGCTCTGCTTCTTGGCGTCCAGCAGCGGCACGTTGAAGGAGGCAGCCAAGCTGGGGGTGGACAGGACATCTCGCAGGGGCACGTGGGCTTCTCCCAAAAACCTGGGGGAAGAAGAGCAAACGGGGGCAGCAGCAAGGGAGGACACACGGGGAAGAGGCTGAGGACCCGCATCGGGTTCAAACTGGAGCAACGGCTATTGCAAAGGCACAGAGCCGGAGGGTTCAAGCAGCGGGAGGAGACGGTTTCCACCTCCTCTCTGGAGGCACGGTGCAGGTCAGCGAACAAAGGCTCGGAAACACAAAGCAATATCCTTGGCGATGCCCTGCCTGGGAGTCAACGACATCAAAGGGGCCAATAAGTGTTTAGTTGCATTGCAAAAAAATAAAAAATAAAAAAAATTAAAAAATAAAGCATCACAGATTTTTATTTCTTTATTATTGTAACAGCGGCGCAGAGCCCCGTGAAGCCTCGACGCTCGGACAGGTCAACCCACCTCCCCTCTGACCCCCAGCAGCAGTCCTCAACCCTCCTTCTGTGGCTCTTGCTTGGTTTTTTTCGGATTTGTGGGGGGTTGTTTTGGGGGATTAACCCTTCCTGTCCCACACCACCTCCCACCCCAGCTGGGGGGTTATTTTTAGAGGCTCCCCTCTGTAAATCGTGACGCGGCCATGAATTTGGGTAAAACCATAGGAGTGGGCAGGCAGGGGGGTGCAGGGAATCCCTGGACCGGGCTGCAGCGACTGCCCAGAAAACCCAGCGAGAAGCCGGGCAGCCCCCGGCCCAGCATTTACCCTTAAAACCTTCTGCTGCGGGGTTTTTTTTTTGTTTGGTTTTTTTTTTGGTTTTGGCTTCCTGCTTTTGTTTGCTCCCCTACCGCTGCAGGGAAGCTCTGGAAGCGCAAGCTTTGGGTTGGAGCAAGCTTTTCTGATGCATATTCTCTCCCCTTCCCCTCCTTCCCCATTTTCCTTTTCAAAAGGTCATGGAAACGGCCTCTTTCTGCAAAAAGCAGCTCTTTGCCTGCAGCTGCCTCAGCGCTTTGCAAGCGGGAAGACGCCCTGGACCGCCATAAACCAGGGATTAAAGCAAACGTGGCCTGAT